GCTTTCATTCAATCTGAACGTTTGGTGGTTTGGAGCACATTGGAATTTGGGTCTTCATCTCCGTCTTCTCCATTCGGGTTATTTTCTTCGAGGTAGGGATTTCCTACTCCATCTTATAAGTTTTGTTCTAAGTTTTGGTATTTTGATATGTTGGGAGTACTTTGGTAATTTTGGGAAAAACCCTAGTTGTATTAATAAATTAATTTGTATAATTAATTTAAGGAAATTGGGGAAATTGGTTAAATGCATGAAATTGAGGAATTCATTGATTAGATGGTGTAGTTGGATAATTAAAATCACTCGCCTATTGAATTGTTGATATATTTATTTCCAATCTAGAAATAACTGTTTTGGGCTATCGGTGGAGAATAATCGTATTTGTTGTAGACATTGCATGTGGATTAGGGAAAATTGAAACTAATCAATTTGTTTAAGTCATAAATTTAGACTATTGAATTAATACAGAAATTACATGTATTGATTGAGCATTGCATATGCATATTGTTTGGGAGGAGATAGGGGATGTACTCCACGGTTTAGGGGAAGATAGGGGATGGACCTCTAAACCGGATTTTGTTTGGGAGGAGATAGGGGATGGACTCCATTAGCATCACTATTATGTGTGCTTATTATATTGAAGTGTTGTTATATGTTATTGATACAGCACTACAATGTGTATCAAACGGGAAGTATGAAGTGTTTTGATATGAACCTGAGTCTCATTTGTTTTGTTGATATTGAAAGTAATGTGAATATGATATATAGTTCACTGTTGTAAGTTTGGCCAGGTTCTGAGTCATGTTGATAATAATGGAAAGTGAAATGTGTCTTAGACATTAGTGTCATGCGACTGTATAATGATACAACTGATTATCTTGGTTAACCATCTATTGAATGCTATAGCTTTATTCAATGCTTATATTTGGTTTAGTATTTTTCTACTGGGCTGTGGCTCACCCTTTATGGGAACATCATTTTCAGGTTCAGGTGATAAGCTACCTCCAAGGACTTAGCTTGGGAGGATTTGGCTTTTGGATTTTGAAGACTAGATTTAGTTAATTGTATTTAATTGTTAGTACATGTAAACATTCAAGCCTAGGGCTTTACTTGTATTTGAGTTAGAACTCATATTTTTGTGTCCAAGTGTTGGCTTGGAAAGATGTTAGCCCGTAGGGCATTTAATTTGATGTTACATGTAATGCTTTTATTTAGTAATACTCTAATGAATGAATTAATGAATTGTTTTCTTTAAATATTGCATGTCAATGATATATATAATGGGTTTATTTTGAGGGCGTTACAATCTAGAATGTAATTGCTTAAGTGATTTAGAAAAGGTGAATTCGACAGTGAAGGGCTACAGATTATGTGATTTAATAGAGTTATATCACAAATCTAGGTTTGAGTGTGGTGGTGGCGGTAGTGGTGGTGGTGGGAGGGGGTGTTTTGATGAGTATGGGTGGACTGGGCTTTGGATTTTGGACACCACCATGGCTGCATCCTTCTCTGCCATCCCTTTCTCCGCGGTCAACCAAGATCATCGTAGCAACCTACGCTCATCACCGCCTTTAACAACCCCCCTCCATTTAGATTTTCATTGTTAGTTCCATCGCCGCCACCGACACTTGTGATCCCCAACACAATCAGATGATGGGTTCAAGTTGCTTGGGAGTTGTTTGAGCAAATTATGTGAATGAGACTTGATTGCTATTTGATCTCTGAGAGAAGATGTAGTGTTTGCCAAGAGATGAGAGATGATGAGAGCTGAAGATGAGAAAGAGAAACGTTTCTAGAGAGATGGGAGAGAGAGAGTGAGAAAGATGGAGAGAAAGAGAATGTTGAGTGAGAGACAATAGAGAGAGTCAAAATAGAGAAAATGAGAGTGAGTGGGAGAAGCTGTCGACGTCAAAGTGACATCAAAGTGACCACCATGTAAAGGGTCCAACTATAGTACCCAAAAGTGGTATTTGGGTGCTATACATGAAAATAATTTTGAACCATTAGATTGAAATCTTTAAATCTTAGCCATCCAAAACCAAAACAAGTTAAAAAATAAATTAAAAAAAAATAACCAGTTACCACCAGTCAATAATCTCTCTCTCTCTCTATTGGTACTGTGTTCTTGCTGGTCACTGTACTCTCTTCTCTCTCTCTGCTCTGTTCTTTTATCTCTATACTCTCATCTTTCTCTACTGTGTGAGGTTTTCTACAAACCCTTCTCTCTCACATCCGGCCAGCCTCTCGTCACCTCGATCCCATTGTTCCACCATCACCGGCGCAACCCCCGCCTTGATTCTGGCCACTCATTCACCCTAAAGATTTTCGACGAGACCAGAAGCTCTATTCAATGGCCTCCTCTGATAGGAACAAGAAGAAAAATATTTGCTTTCTAAATTTTTTTTTTCTTCTGAACCTTTAAACTGGTTTTTTTTTATGTTCAATGGCTTCCTCCAACTTGTTCACGGCTCTTCCTCCAACTTGTTCACGGCTCTTGGAGTGAATATGCATATTTGATGCTCTATTCATATTTGGTGCTCTGTTTTTTTTAGTACATACATGTTGTGTATATGGTGCTCTGTTAATAAATGTTGCTCTATTCATATATATTGTAGATATAAATTGATGCAAGAAAGAAAAATGAATTTAGATACTGTAGCTTACATAGTGGAGTTCTTGTTGCACCTCTAAAAAAAAAAAAAAGAAAAGGTAAAGTAAAGTATATTCCAAAGCAAAATCATGGATAAAACAATAAAATTTCACCCCTTCGATGACATTGATGGTATCATAAAACTCGATTGATGATTCTAATACAACTTTTTAGAAATACATAAAACTTCAATTCTTCTTTCCACTTGACTATTTGCTTCATTAGCTGTTGTGTATATGAACTATACATACATATTCTTTTGTTGAAATCCCAAGTGTTTCTTTTTTGGCTTTTTTTTGCTTTTTCAAAATCATCTAGAAAGTGGTTCCTTTTTGTTTTTTCTGAATTTTTTTTTTTTTTTTTTTTTTGTTAAAAGTCGAAGACAAAAGTAGATGGGCAAGTTCGCTTTATTTTTTTAGGTTTTTTTGCTTTTTAAATCTTTTTTTTTCCCTTTTGATTTCTTTGTTTAAAATCAAAGACAAAAGTAGGTCGGTAATTTGACTTTATTTTTTTTGGGTTTCTTTGTTTTCTAAACATTTTTTTTTCCTGATTTTTTTATTAAAAATCAAAGACAAAAGTAGATGGGTAAGTAGATGGATAGAGTAAAAATCATATATATATTGGTTGCTTTTTAAAAAAATTATTTTTGTATGGTACTTTTTTGGATTTTTAGTATGTGGTTGGAGGTGGCATTTTTTCCAATTAATCCTTAAATCTTTGTAGAATACTAGGTATATGGTTGTCAAATATGCTTTGAAGTTTGTTTGTTTGTAGGTATGAATTTTGTGTTGTCTCATATGCTTTCTTACTTATTTTTTAAAGTAAGATGGTTCATGGTGGTCATTTGTATTTTTTGTCACGTCCCAAGCTCCGTGACAACGCCGCACACTCATTTAAGTGAGCATGCAAGGCTAAGAGTCCAACACATAACTAACAATGTAAAATATACCAATCAAATCCTTAATTATCATAATTCTAAAATCCATAAAAAAAAAATTGATTATTCTTATCATATGAAATTATCCACCAAGTCCACTAATAAAATCCATTAACAAAACAAATAATCCAAGTACTTAAATCATAGTCCTACTCTCGGCACTCCCATATGTAAAAAAAATCCCGCGCAGCTCTACTCTTCAGAATCTGAAAAAAATAAAATAAGGGTAAGCTAGACAGCCTAGTAAATAACCAACCATCACTGCCAGCTGGATCAAGTATTAAAAAAAATATAAAAATAAATCGATAATCAATAAATATAAATTTTTGATACAAATCAATAAATGACACGATTATTTGTAAGATGGTTTCATAGCTGAAAATAAACAGTGTAGCAATACATTTTAATTAAAAGTCAATGGGGTAACTCGATGAAAATTTCGTTATCCAAAATTGATAAATCATATTCAGATGGTTCAATGATCGATTCACAAAACCCAAGTCTTAATGACTAGGGTCACTTAGCCCGTGACAAGGCCCAGAACCACACATAGGTTGGTGGTAAAGCCCCAAAGAAAAACTAGTTTCTGTGCCATAAATAACCCCCATTGGCTAGGGTCCAAATCATAGTCAGACTAGAGTGATGTTTCAACATTCACCACAATACACAAATTTTAAAAAAATATTCGATATTTTCAGAATAAACATTTAGTATAATTTTCAGAATAGTTTCACCGAATATTCAAATAATTTTCATAATAATATTCGTTTTATACTTGACCCATATTTTATTTTAAGAGAACAGGAAAGTTACGAATAAATATTTATGATTTTAAACGATTCTGAATTAGGCATTAAATAACACCAACAGTGATAGAGGGTTACTTACCTCAAACGCTTAAAATAATATTCCAATACTAACTCTAAACACCCAGCTCCACCACTTCAATCACACAAACCTCCAAGAGATGATTAGATCAAAATCACCAATCTATGAATCTTCTTTCTTTTCTTTTTTTCTTCCTATTTTTCTCTGTTTTTTTTTATTATTATTTTTTTTTATTTTTTATTTTTTATTTTTTACTCCTAAATCTGCCGCAGCAGCCACACCATCCAAAACCCTCTATTTGTTTGTGCTTATATGTTTCCAAGACCTAAAGCCCAAGTGGGCTTATAACCCAATCTCCCAAAATTACAAACTTAACCATCTAAGTAATAAAAATTATGAAGCCACTTCATAACTCATAACTAATTCCTTGATAGTACTAAATGACCCATATAAATTAATTTAACTATTACTTTATTCAAAAAAATAATTCTACACGTAAAAATTTGGATTTTACATCCTTCCCCACTTAAAAGAAATTTCGTCCCCGAAATTTGACATACCTGGAGTCTTAAAAAGTTGTGGATACTTTCATTTCATTTCATCCTCAAGTTCCCAAGTAGCTTCTCTTTCCGAGTGATTACTCCATTGAACCTTAACGTAGTGAATGACACGACGCCTCAAAACCTGTTCCTTCCTATCAACAACTCGTATAGGGTGTTCCATATAAGTCAAATCCTCCTTAAACTGCAACGGTGCATGATCAATCACATGACTAGGATCTGGTATATACTTCCTTAACATTGAGACATGAAAAACATTATGAACTCCAGCTAGTGAAGGTGGTAGAGCAAGTCTGTAAGCTACCTCTCCAATTCGATCTAAAACCTCAAACGGTCCAACAAATCTAGGACTCAGTTTACCACGAACACCAAACCTCATTACTCCTTTCATAGGAGACACCTTAAGGAACACATGGTCTCCAACCCCAAACACCAAATCGTGTCTCTTGTTATCTGCATAACTTTTCTGTCTACTCTGTGCAGTGCGAAGTCGCTCTCTAATAAGATTGATTTTGTCCACTGTTTGTTGCACAATCTCAGGCCCTAACAACTTCCTTTCACCCACATCATCCCAACAAATAGGTGATCTACACTTCCGTCCATATAAAGCCTCATGTGGTGCCATTTGAATGCTTGCATGATAACTGTTATTATAAGAGAATTCCACTAAGGCCAAATGCTCATCCCAAGAACCTCCAAGATCAATAACACAAGCCCTTAACATGTCTTCCAAGGTTTGAATAGTTCTCTCTGACTGTCCATCAGTTTGAGGATGAAAGGCAGTGCTAAAATTCAAACTAGTACCCAAAGCTGCATGCAAACTCCTCCAAAACATAGATACAAATCTGCTATCTCTGTCCGATACTATGGTCATCGGAATACCATGCAACCTCATAATCTCTTTGATATACAGTTTTGCAAACCTCTCTAAGGAGAACCCCACCTTAAAAGCTAGAAAGTGAGCGGATTTGGTCAATCGATCAACGATAACCCAAATAGCATTGTTACCACCTTGGGTCCTAGGCAACCTTGTCACAAAATCCATGGTAATATGTTCCCACTTCCACTCGGGAATAGGAAGAGGTTGTAACTTACTTGCAGGTCTCTGATGTTCCATTTTCACTTGTTGACATACCAAACATTGAGCAACATACTGAGCAATTTCCCTCTTCATATTATTCCACCAAAAGTTCCTCTTCAAGTCTTATACATTTAGTGCTCCCTGGGTGTACCGTATATCCTGAACTGTGAGCTTCTTTCAGGATTTCTCTCTTGAGCTCCAAATCATTACGCACACACAACCTCTCTCCAAACCTCAAGGTTCCATCTTTATGCATACAAAGTTCCATCTGTAGCCCTATTTCCATTTCAGCTTTAAGTTTTTGCAACTGAGGATCTCTTCCTTGAGCATTTTTAATTCTATCAATCAATGTGGGTTGAACCCTAAGGTTTGCCAACTGCACTCCATGATTATGCCATCTAATCTCAATATTCAACCTCTGCAAGTCCTCCAAGATATTCTTTTGGTCAGTGATCAAGGTAGCCAAATTACTCGGGGTCTTTCTACTCAAGGCATCCGCCACTGCATTGGCTTTTCCTGGATGTTAATTGATAGTCAAATCATAGTCCTTTAATAGCTCCAACCATCAACTTTGCCTCATATTCAATTCTTTTTGAGTGAAAATATACTTCAAACTTTTATGGCCCATCGGCCCGGTTAAGGCCCATTCAAGGCTCGGTTCGAGACCCGGTCCGCGCTGAGGCCTAGTGTCTTTTTTTGTGGAAAATAATAAAATTTTGGTAGAAAAAATTAAAAAGAATTAAAGAAAAATGGCCAGGCCCGCCCCGGGCCGCCCACGGGCCGTGGGCGAGTTTCGGGCAGCCACAAGGCACGGGCTAATTTTACACTCTTATCAATGTGAATGTTAACATGTCAATGTGAATATTCACATTGACATA